TTGTACCGCCTCGTCGAACAGAATCTTGATGGCGGCCTCGGCACTCTCCTTGGGCTTCATTTCCCAGGCGGGTTGTAGAATTTCGATGAGAGAAAATAGGATTTTCTCGACGCGTGCTTCGGTGAGCTTGTCGTCGGAGAACCAGATTTCCATTGTGCGATAGATGATTTCCCTGTTGAGGGAGAGTCGGAACTCGGTTTCCTCCGGGTTGTTTGTGGCCCTGCTCACGGTGCGCGGAATGATGAAAGACAGCGGCGTGTGGTACGGGCACGATGTGTACAAGACGGGAAGGACCGTGACGAGTGAATACAGGAATGTGATGACGATGGCGAGGGTCAGTATGACCCAAGCCAGTTTCTTCTTGATGACAAACGCGAAGACGACGAGGCCAGCGATGAAGCAGAAGAGCGAAAGTTGGAGAACGACGGGGATGGCGTCGACGACGACGAGGACGAGGCCAAACTTGTCTACGCCCGTGGAGTAGTACACATGCGCGCGGGCACGCACTCGTGTGCGGTGAGAGATGTCAGCTGGGCGGCCTTTGAGTCCTGGTCGGAGGCGTGCGCTGCTCCATCGTTGAAGGTACTTTCGGGACCACTGCTTGACGAGGGTCGCTGCGAGGGCGCAGGCCACGCTGAGGAGCAGGCTGACAAACCAGAGAGCGTTGATCCAGAGAGAGACGGTGGGGGAAGGGCCGGGGTAGGGGGTGACATCGACCGCGGTAGTGTTGGGGAGATGTTCGAGGGCGGCGACGACACGGACGAGGAGCGTGGCAGTCATTTCCACGTTGTCAGGTTGGAGGTTTTTGTACGCGTCGACGACGAACGCCGTAGTTACGGCGGAGAAAAGACCAGCCTTCAATGAACCATGTCAAGATCCACAATGCGAGACAGAGATGAGACACACACAAAAATGAGGATGCCATCCATGTCCTCCCTCCAACGTTCCGCTCGCGCCTTGTCCCGTTCGTCAGCATGGACAAGATAGTCCTCCCAGATATCCGTAGAATCTGAATATTTCTGTCTATCAGTTCAAGTCGTCTCCACGAAAGACTGGAATTGTGTCCATGAGTGCAACTCACCTACGAGACCCTGATTGCCCTGAGGACCTCCCAGCACAATGTTAGAATCCATAAGTATGCTGTACGCAGGTCGAGTAGGTCATACGCCAATGGATGTGGGGATACTCGTCAGAACCACTCGATATAAGGTTGCGAACGCGAGGCCGAGGAGCCCGCGAGGCTCCGTGAATTTGGAGTTCTCCGAGCCCTTTACCCCCCACCATTTGCCCACCATACGGAGTAGAGGA